GCAGGGGCAAGGCCACTGCTCAAACCTGGGCCACTCAATTCAGAGTTAAGGTTACTGTAGGCCTTCAAGGACCCATTTTGTCGAAAATATCTTTTTCATACCAAATTCAATACTTCTACTTTGTCTACCCTTGACTTGAGCAGTAACAATGTATGTGGTAATCTCATCCACGGCCTCGTATTTTGCTTGTTATGTTTACCCCTAGCGTCTTGCAATTTCTCACACAGAAATCTTCGCCTTTGTTGATTGTTTTCTTCTCCTAAACAATAGGCTAGGCGATTTTTCACGCTCTGCGCATTCTTGCAAGCACAAATTGCGTGCGAATGTTTCGTCATTGTCCTCTTCTGACACACAAGTTGATTGCTGTGGAATTACCAGCGAATTGAACTGCCGAAATCTGACATGGCAGCCTCTTTAGACGCTTCTTTCTTCTGTTTTGAAAAGTGTTTCTCCTTATTCTAGTTAAAAAAAGACTGATGAATTCCATGTTTAGTTTTAATGTAAAAGTATCCACACTCGACTTTGCTCGCCAAGTAGGCCTCTTGAGGACTTTTGGAAAAATTGTGTTGGAGAACCTGGCACACATTATTATCCTGTCTAAAGCTAGTAATGTGTTGTTCCAGAAAGAACCCTTCCATATTTACCTACTAAAGATTTTTTGGGCCAATTATTTAAACGAAGTTTGGACGAAGTTTATGAAAGTCATCGTCTAACCCATGTTTAAACCATGAGTACCGATTATTTAAATGTTGTTTTTCCATAACAGTGTTTAGATAGTGTTTAAACACCGACTAAGGAACAATAGTAAGTTAGACCTGATCAAAGGTAGGTTTAAACGCTGTTTAACGATATTTTCATGGTCAGCAATTTTGAAATGGGAGACCTCTGTGCTACAGACAGTTAAGAAACTATGCTAATTGACATAATATACATGTTCGACAAATTCGGCACCTTAGGGATAGATTTAACCCATTACAGGAACACGACGACGAAGACTTTCGATTGTGTTTTCGCCTTAGAAAGCACTCGGTCTGTAAGCTCGTAAAAATCTTTGATAAATTAAAGATCAAGGAGAGGTCTGCGGCTTACACCAATGCAGCAAGTGCTGAGTGCTTTAAGATTCAATGTGACAGGAACTTTCCAGAGGGCTATTGGCCATTTATTTGGTGTTTCTGTATTTGCTGCATGCACAGTCATCCACAAGGTTTCAAGGGCTAAACTCCTGTCATTCCCAGAGAACCTGGGTGATACCAAGAGAAAGTTTTATGTCGTTGCGCACTTTCCAGGAGTGATCGGAGCCATCGATTTTACCCACATCGGGATCATATGTCCAAATAAAGAAAATGCTATGGCATTTGTTAACAGAAAGCAGTTTTACTCCATTAACGTCCAAGCCGTTTGTGATAGCGATGCCTTTATTACTAACGTAACCCGCTGGCCTGGGTCTACTCACAACTCACTCATTTTTGAGAACAGCAACATCGCAGACACATTAAGGAATGATACTCTTGATGGCATACTTGTGGGTGACAGTGGATGCGCTTGTAGGACATACTTAATGACACCAATCCTCAAGCCAAAGAATGCAGGAGATGTGCGCTACAATACTGCACATAGGCGTACTTGGTGTGTTATTGAGAGATGCTTTGGATTGCTAAAACGACGTTTTCCTGGTCTGCACTTGGGACTGCGCACCGCCTTGGAGAATACCCTTGTCATTATTGTGGCCACCGCAGTGTTGCATGAATTTCGCCCTAATGCATCGAGAACAAGACTTTGATTAAGACATTGAAGATGAAGATGTTCCATTTGACATTGTTGCTGTAGCAACAATGTCCCAATGTCCCTTTGCCTTTTTTGCCAACGTTTTACTGTCATAGACTTTGCTTTCCACTTCAGTTCTGAAAAGTCCCTACCCAATTCGCCGACTGAACCGTGTTTTCTTGAGTCAATGGCTAAACCATGTCTCACTAGGAAATGAATTGTCTCAAAAACATTTTTCTCGTTCGCTGAAATTTGTAGTGCGACATGTTTTAGAAGCCATGTTGCAGAGACGTAACCACTATTTAGAAATTTGCATGCAAAATAACCTCGCAGACACTGCATTTCCTAGTGAGACATGGTTTAGCCATTGACTCGAGAAAACACGGGTCAGTAGCATTTCAATAATGAATTTTAAACATCGTTTAGCCCTTGTTTATCGAGACAACATCTAAACAGCGGCTTAGCCCTCAACAATGAGACTTCGTTTAAATAATCGGCCCTTTGTTTTTCATTCAGAAGTCCCCATCCCTTTTAAAATTTGCAGTGAGCTTCCTTGGGGTGGATACAGATATTTCCTGGAACTGCACAATAATGTAGTGTTCACTTCATGTCTAGGATAACAACGTAGTGTTTCGTGCTGATTATTCACGCTGACATCAAAGCCGGTAATGTTTTTTTGGGAGGCGGGAATGAAAAGGACAAATGGCTAGTGAAATTGGGCGATTTCGGAGAATGTCTTTTTGAGTTTATGCAATTCACGAGTACTCAGGTTTCCAGCCTACAAAGCTCTCCGAATAAGAAAGGGGTCCGTAGAGCAACGACAGCGTTTTTGGCGCCCGAGAGAACAGACCCAGCTCAGAATCGAAGCCGAACGTTGCAATTGACATTTATGCTTTTTCTATGTTCCTTGTCGAACTCACTCTTCCAAAACGAATTCATCCGTTTGATGGCGACTTGCCCCCAAATTCTGTGTTAGTGGAAGCTGCAGCTAGGGGAATAAGACCGACGTTGCCTTTAAGCGTTTGGTTTGGTTTAAGCGTAAAATTGAAAGTTTAATTGTTTTGTTGAGATTATTGGGGAATTAATATTTTAATAAGTAAAAACGTTTGTTATGTTTAATTAATAGGGGTCGCTGTAGCACGTGTTCTTTTGAACAGACAGACCTCCCAAGTACATGCGACAGCATTCAGACACATCTTTTAAGGAACGACCAGTCGATGCCCAGCATTTGACAACGGCAAAAAGCTCTTAGGCATCACTGTCGATTTTTCAGATGCCGAGGCAAAAGGCCTTCGGGATGTTCTTGGTCGAGATTTTGCGGACAAGATACTTAGAGGTTGCAAGGTACATATTTCAAATTAGTCTTAGAATTATTTAACTCCATGTTTAGTCCTAGGGGAAAGTAAGGGTGCAAACGAAGATGAAAATTACTACTATACTATGGTGGAGTGTCCGTTCAGGAATATCCTCAGAAACAATTGCCAACCAAAAGTGACCGTGAAAATACTAAATTATCGGAGGCCCTTCCACTGTTATAGTTGAAGTACTCCAGCCATTTAGCGTCTTCTCCAACGCATTAAACACCAAAACGGACGAAAAATGCAATTTTGAAGTGATATATCTAAAATTGTTTTGGCAGGTACACTGGAAGAGGTCAGTAATGAAAGTTAGTACCAGAGTGTGCGACACAGCTTCATCTATAAGAGCTTTCCGTCTGCTGGCAGATAAAGTTGCCACGTCCAATTCGAAGGATGAGGTTTACAAAATCTTTAATGTACTTGCCGGAGATCTAAACATCACAACTGTAAAACACCTTCTTCCAGATGACATGACAGACCTAGAGAATGATAACTGGAAAAAGCTGCACAATTGGAAAAGGTGGTGGACAAGGGAGGAGCACTTGAGTAAGTTAATTTTATTTTCTTCAAATTCCCCATGATGCCACAAACGCCTTTAAGTTAACGCTTTAAGTTATAATTGAAAGTCATTTGCCGTTGACAGTAATAACAGTTAGGCGTGCATCTTCATCATCGTGTTTATTTTTCTTCCACCATCCTTTCACGAGTTAGGTAGGGTTGTAGTCTAATATTAACCGTTACTCTATGCTTCTTTATAGAAATGTTCACAACTGCTTTTACAGAGATGGAGGCCTGTAACTGGTCAGCGTGTCCTGACACAACAAATCCTGTCGAACATATCAATAAAGATTCAATTCCAGCAAAGGAGTATAAGAACATCTATCGATGTGACAAGCTTGCTGCAGCCAAAAGGTTGGCTGTTTTAAGTAATGTCACGATCAGCTAAGCAAGCAAGCAAGAGGACAGTAGGCAAGAAAGAGCAGCAAGAAAAAGGAAGTGGAGGAGGAGCTTGGGGAAACTCGGGGATCATGATGATCATAACG